AACTAGTACACCATCCTACTGAAAATTTGGTAGCCATACGACATACCGTTAGCGAGTTCGTGGGGGGGCCGAAAGAGCCCCCCCCCGGTCAAATCTTGCTCAAAAAAGCCCGGTCTAGATAGGGTTAACGGTTAACCCCTGATGTACGTACCACACATCAAATTTCTAGGTCTGACTGTGCAGAACGATCTGAAGTGGGACCTACAAGTCACCAACATGTTAACTTCTGCTAACAAGAAGCTGTACATACTTCGTCGCCTGAAACGGTTTGGTATATCTGTCCCAGACCTCAAGGCAGTCTACACCTCGTACGTGAGACCCGCGCTCGGGTACGCCGCACCGGCGTGGCACTCATCCCTGAACAACGTTCAGACAGCAAAACTTGAAAGGATTCAAAGGAGAGCGTGCAGGATTATTCTCGGAACTCAATACACCGACTACACTTCTGCTCTGCCCACATTAGAGCTTACCACCCTTGCTGACCGTCGGATCCACATCTGCACCAAGTTCGCCAAGTCACTACTCCGACCTGACTTCAGAGACTGGCTTCCCCCTTCTAGAGAACATATATAAGGACGTTCAACACGTAGTTCTCAGAAACTGGACATTCCACTATGCCGGACAGATATAAAACCCTCCTATTCCCTACTTGACACATCTCCTAAATCAGGGATTAGCCAATTGATCCGACGACTTCTGTACTGACTTACCACGACAGTATGTCGCAATGTATTTATGTTTTTTTTATTATGTATATGAATGTATATCAACTCCGACCAGTATAAATGATTCCAGAACATTTTATGACAAACGTATTTAAATGTAAATAATTGTTAATGCTTTTTTATTACTTAGTATTAAATTTTAATTATTTATACTGTGTAAATTCAACACAATTCAGGCAATTGTAATGTCTGCAAGTTGAATAAAGATTCATTCATTCATTCTTCAGACCAAGCCACCCATGTCACTCCTTCACAAGCACAGAAGCTATCTTCCATAATTACCTTCGCCAAAATTAGTTTATGTTTTCTAGTAACGTTTGTCCGTCTGTCCGTTAGTTTGTCTGTATGCCTGTCTGTCTTTCTGTGAACAGCATAACTCAAGAAGCCTTATTTGCATTCTCATCAAACTCGGTAGGTGGGTAGGTCTTGATGAGACCTAGACATAATTGGATTTTGGGCCCCCTAGCGGCTTTTGTTGGCACTGCAGCAGAACTTCCGGTTTTGATATCTCGCGATCTGGACATGCTAGGATCACGAATTGTGGATGGTAGATAGCTCTTGAGTAGCGAAGAAGTGACATGAGTTTGGTCCCCCTAGCAGCTTGTTTTTGAACTTAGGGAGGGTTTGTTGAAAATCTTTTCAGGAGGATAACTCAAGAACTGGTTGACAGATTGTAGTGTTTTTGGTATGTGTGTAGCTGAAGTGATGATTGACATAACCAGATGACAATTATGCAAATTAGGAGCTAGTTTGCATAATTAATGAGGACATTTTATACATCTGCTTCGTTCGATAATAGGACTATGAAACACTTGTGACATGTAATTGAGAATGAAAAAAAAAACATACTGAGGATATGGATATGAAAATGAAGTCCTAATTTGCACAATTAATAGAAAATTGTTACAACTTCGTAGTTGCAATTGCTGGGAATTTCACACTTGTCGCATTTGGAAGTTGAATGAAGGTAAACATCAATAAAGGTAATTTATTCAAATTATGAGTTAATTTGCATAATTTATCAGGAAATACTAGAATAGCCTTTTATTGTTAGGATAAGGCTGCCATTGGGTGGAGAACATGATCAATTGATGTAATCATGCAAATGAGGCTCTTACTTGCTCAGTTGGTGTAAGGCGTACCACGGTTGACCACAGCAGAGATCTCATTATGGGTTCACCACACCACGAAGTGGTGTGGTGAAACTATATTGCTTTTTCTGATGTTTCTTCTTCTTCTTCTTCTTCTCCTGACATTTTTTAAATGGATTCAGCTTCTTCATTTTAGGGCCCAAGGTCCTGAAATTTGGTATGGAGGTACAGTGGGCAAATACCCCTAGGCGTTTTTTAAATTATTGTGATACAGGCTTTTAGAATGGTTTTATTTGAGTTTTTTGGCTGTGTTATAGCAAATGTATTACTGTGTTAGTGTGCCTTGTTTACCACGTTTGGGCATGAGTCATCACAATGGAATGCAGGGCATCAACCAATAGGCATGCAGCTTTCCTCTATTCTTCTTGCTGATTGGCTGTTGGGATTTAACTTGATTAACACCTGCACAGAGCATTTCCACCTGCACAGAGCATTTCTTGCTGATTGGCTGTTGGGATTTAACTTGATTAACACCTGCACAGAGCATTTCCATACAATGTCTGTATTCAAGTGTTTTGGTAGGTATTTCAAGCTTTCCTGCTCCAGCATTGGAATGCGGGGCATGGACGTTTTTTTATTTTGAAAATCAACAGTTTGCATTATGCAATTAAAAATCCTAACCAATAAAGTAGGGAATAGCTATCCAACTGTTGTTTTAGTTGTATTTTACTTCATATTATAGTTATATCAATGTAAATCATTGTTTTCCCTTGTGTTTCTCATTCTTTCCCTGCCATGTCGTAAAATGTGGTGAACCCATCGCTGTATTTGCTCCAAAGCAAATATTGGCCTTTCTAGTTTAATATTATAATGACCTACTTGAATATTGTAATGAGCCAAATGCAGTCTTGAAGTTTCTAAATATGTAGCAATTTGAGTGATATCCCACTGCCTCTGCCCCGCCTGCCGTTTTGCATTGGATTTGCGCGCAAATTCCATCCTGTGGAGTTAATTGGTGCCCCTCTTTTGTTTTTCAATTGGCTGATCAAGAGCAGAACGGATGTCAGGCTTGCATAAATACTAACGGGGGGTGCCCTAATTCCGACCTATGTTCCATGCAAACGCACATACCTTTGGTAATAGCAAGGACGTTCAACACAACGTCCTTGGTAATAGTTTATCTGACTAAAAACCCGCGCAACATGAGCTATGATATTGACAGATAAAGATCAGGACGATTAAAGCTGCACAGCTGTTTATTTCACTTGAGTGTAGCGCCTTGCACCGAAGCGTAATGGTTCGCGAAACGCACGGCAGGTTTTTTGTCATTTTGCCGGAGGAACATTCTATCGCAACAGGGGTGCCTTAATTCCGACCCAGTGTTTAACACAGGGCGATCTGAGAAGAGAGTTTAGAAATTATAATACACAAATTATGACTAAAACAATCTACAACTGTTTTCTGTCCCAAACAAGTCCTCTTTTTACGATTACGCGACTTGCTCCAAAGTGGCTGTTTGAAAAGCAAAACCTGCATTTTTGACACGCTCGTCAACCCCCGAACAAGCGTCGAATTCACACAGATTTTTCACTCGTCTGTTGTCAGAGTGTACAAACTAAAACAAACTTTGGGAGATTACCGATATCAACACAAAAACATTGACCATTCTTGTGATTATTTTTAGGCACGTGGTCCCATGCATAACGCCGCAACAAGGATTTTTCAAACTAGTTCGGTAATACGGATGGGTCGGAATTAGGGCACCCCCCCGTTAGTAAAGATTCATAATCTAAACTTTGAAGCGTTTGGAGGAACTATAGCCATGCCGAGGGAACGTCAGATTTAAAGTAGAATGATTGGTAATGTCCTGAACTACCCAAACCTGTTTAGATCCTTTTGCTTATCATGAACTGTCTTTTGATATAGGGCAAGAAAGTTACCTAAAATCATGGCATTATTTTAGGGGTTATCCTAAAATTATGGCATTGAAATGGAAAAAAAAAACAATTTGATAAAAAGCAGGAATAATATTTCAAATATATCAAAACAATTTTTAAATGGTGACAGATGTAAGAATGTACCCTCCAAAAAGCGTCTGTCTATGATGTTGGCTATAGTTCCTCGATTTACGTTTTCTGTTTAAGAATTATGCATCATATCAGACATAGAAATATGCAAATATAAGAAATATAACAACATGAAAGCAATATTTCAACACTCAACAAGTTGTATTTTGCCTTTTCCCCAAGTTTGAACCATTTCTGACCAGCTATGTACCAAATATAACTTCAATAGTCAAATGTCGACGACTAAGCTTGGCCGGTCATGTAGTACGTAGTGAAGAACCAGCCAGTAGGCTTCTACTCTGGAACCCTGATACCTCTAAGAGAAGAGTTGGGCGCCCAAACATAAAAGTTAAGAAACTTATTGAAACTGAAACTGGCTTGGAGGGACATGAACTTTTCTCAGTGATGTATGACAGACAGTTGTGGCGAGCTAAATTTGTATGCTCCACCTCTACGGAGGATGAATGATGATGATGATGATGACGGCTGAGTCATGCCATTTTCCCGAAAGGACCTGACAAATCAGTAAATTGGCACCGTGGCACGCCTTACACCAACTGAGTGCGAAATTAATGATTTAAACTGTATAATACGTCAACCGGAAGGGTTAACATCATTTGGCGAAGGTATGAGATCGTGGAACTCTAGTTATCACTAGTTCTCAATGCGTGCAGATCACGAGATATCTAAACAGGAACATCCGCTGCAGTACCATAGCGGGCCCATAGGGAACCCAAAATCAAATCTTTTTGAGGTCTCATCAAGATCTACCTACATTTAAAACCTATATTCCAAGTTTCATGACAGGACTGAAGCTATGGATTACTCACTTAGTACCGACGACCCACAGTAGACCAGAGAACACGCAGGAGACTTGGGTAGTTTATACACGAAGTAACCGTGGGGGCAGGCCAGCACATGGATAGTGGTTGACCAAGTACAGGTGTTACCGTCCCAGTAGGCACACGCCTTGCGGGACACTGCGCCGTCAGCACGGGTGGGGTGTTGTCCGTTCATCCACATCGGGGCATGGGTTCCGCATCTGTGCGATTCCGGGGGCGCTTCTGTGGGCATGACAGTTCCAGCAGGCTCCATGAAACGGTACCACTCTCCGGCAAACCCACTGTCACAACCGTCCGCCTTAGCTTTGTTTTGGACGTTCCTCGATGCCTCATTCAGTACAATGTAGTCGCTGCATGGACCTGAAATAACAGTTGAAAGAAATAGATGAAATCTCTAGAATTAGAAACTGAACTTTCCATTGTTGGGAAATTATATAACTACCTTCACCAAGAAGAGAATGTTTTCAGTCGCGTTTGTCCGTCTGTCTGTCTGTGTAAAGCATAAGTATAACTCAAGAAGCTATATGCATTGTCGTGAAACTTTGTAGGTGGGTAGGTCTTGATGAGACCTAGAAATGCCCCCTGGCGGCTTTTGTTGGTAATGCAGCAGAACTTCCGGTTTTGATATCTCGTGACCTGGACATGCTGGGGTCACGAATTTTGGCTGGTAGGTAGCTCTTGGGATAGGGAAGAAGTAACATGAGTTTTGGCCCTGGAACTGCAGGAGCGTTTGTTGAAGAATTCTCGAAGAAGGATTACTTAAGAACTGGTTGACGGATCGTAGTTTTTCTTTTTTTTCTCCATTTTTCCTAACACGCTTCTCATAAATATTCACTGTCAATCATTCATTTCACCATTGAAAACAGTAGCTGATTGGTTCGCAGGTTTACAGGCGTGGACAAGACATGTTTTGATCGCATCTCGCAAGCTTGTCTTTTGATATGCGTACCTCATCCCCGCCTCAATTTTTCTTCACTTCGCACGTTTTAACAATGCCCCGGTTTTCATCTGTGTCTTCAATTTTACCTTCATGGTAACTGAAGTTGCTGATTTGTTAAGTGTAAGTTAATTTTAGGACTTGAGCAGTCACTTTTCCATCGCTAAGACTTCATAACCGCACGTATTTGATCGTTTTCACCCCTCCCTCTTTCCCCGAATCTTGCGGGACTATACAAGCTCGCTACGTTACGATCGCAAACCACGCTTCACAAGTTCTTGACTACAAAATGAACACAACGTACAAGTAATTCATACAGTAACAAACAATACAATGGTGTTTGTCCAGAAATAAAAATTTATTATACAAAAAGTAGTTTTGTACAAATGCCCTGCATAAACGTACCACAGAAAAAAAAGAATGCAGAGACAATGGCGTCGCGTTACAGCTACGCTTTGAAATTTCACGGCTTGTTTTCACCAGGGCTTTTATAAATACTACGTGAAAGCTCTGAGTAAAGGGTACATGTAATATTTTGGCCCATAACTTTTGATCTAATAAGGATTTTTTGACGAAAACACCAAAAATCGAAAGGGCACAGTGCCGCCGCCATCTTAATGACGCGTTCTTGTTGTTCTATGGAGGCTCACGGGAATTATACCCCAATCTAGGCCGAAATCTACCCCGAAATTTACGTAAATGATCTTAGCTTTCGCAGACATCGAGTTTAATACCATAGAATTAAAAAAAAATTGGTAAGATTATAGATCAGGACTTCAACTAATGTTTAGTGCGTAAATTGGAAAAAACATCCTAATTAGAAAGGTCACAAGGTTCAAAGTTCAATTGCTAAAAGTTGCTGGAACTAAACACTAGCGTAAGGAGGACTTTTTGAACGCTGTAATTTGCTGTTACGTTTTTACGTCTTCTTATGTACAAAGTCAACCTGTGTTCTTTTCAATTCTTACTGTTGTTTCTCTACATGATGTTCCGACCATGCGTTATTTTGAGGGATATTTGCAGTGTTTACTTGTGTATAGTGCCTTGGTACAGGCGAGCGGGAGGCACCCCGCGGTGACAGAGAGGCGCACTCAGCCATAGCAACGCGGACAAAAGGCTAGCAACCGGACCATCTTGGGCGTACTACGGCCGTAAATGTCGTTTAGAGGTCGCCGACTAGTCGGCCGATCGATTTGCGCGCAATGTGACGCGGACCCCAATAAAAAGTGGATTAAGACACGCTACACGGTGTCTCAAGATGGCCGCCATGTGAGAGGACGTGTAAGAGGACGCTCCTAAATTTTCAATACTTTGCCACGTCTGTTTGTACTGTTTGTACTGCCATCCAGCGAACTTTAAGTGACAATTTTCTACATTTAACCGACTTATGGGAAAGCGACACAGAGGCTCCAGGGACAGCAGTTCTGAGGAAAACAGTCCAAAATCGCGAAATTGCCCCCCCCCCTCCCAAGACAGCTAAAATGGCGTCTGGTGAAGCTACGCTGACATCGCTACCCCCAGACTTACAGAAGCTGGCGCAGCTGATCTTCACTCAAACGAATGAAGAACAGGAAGCTATCAACTGCGAACCATGAATGGGAAACTTTCTACAAAAATTGACGCGCTAGACGCAAAAATGTCCAGTCTGTCAGCGGAGTTGAGCGTGGTCCCCTCCCTCCTCTAGATTTTCTGAGGCAGTTTTTATTTGCAATCAGTGGTATTTCATCTAAGTTACTTCCAAATTTGAAGTTGATTGCCCGAGCCAAACCTGAGATACATGCGATTTTACAGGTAGCTCTGTATCACCCCCATTTTATTCCAAAGTGCGTCTTAGGTACACGGAGTAGCTCACGGAGGTTTTGAAGTTGATTTGATTCCTCTTTTGTTGAGGTTATCCCATGTTAAACAAGGAAAATCACAGATTTTGTACCTCCGGGTATTGTAATGTATGTTGCAGAATGTTGGGTGCATGTTGGGACTGTTCTTTAAATTAGTGAATGGTATCTGGGTGTGTGTGTGTTCACGCGAATACCATTTTTTCGAAAAGTTTCGAAATGTTTGTAATTGGCTAAATGATCTGTGAAATCACTAATCCCCCCTATCCGACTGGAGCCCAAAAATAGAAAGGACAGGGGGCATCCCGTGGCGAATCTGGCTGGCCGACCCTCAGCGACCAGCGATAATGTAAACAAACACCTACACAAACGGCCGCGTGAGAAATCAACTCCATTGCGCGGAACTTGCTCTCGAAAATTTATCAAGCCGCTACACTTCCCCCCGCGGCTGCCATCCCTCCCCACTTATCCCACACTAGTTCAAATCGCGTAAAAAAAAACACATCAAAACATGCACAGAAGCGTGTTCATATCTTTCATGTTACGGTTAAAACTTAGAACCTCATTTTGAGCGAACGTTACAAACACGAGACAAAATAATATTTTCGAAAACAAATCGCAATCAGCAAGGTTTCATTCCTGTTTCATTCATCAAAAGTTCTTGTGGATTGTAAAATGATCACTCATCTGTTGTCTCCTCTAGTGTGTCATTTGTAGCGTAATCACGGCGTGCCAAAAAAATCAGTCAAAACTATGAAAATTCCGGGATAAAAACTTCGCAAAAACGTGTTCTCCACATCGCTGTACAAAACCATTTTGATATGTAAATAGCAGCGCGCGATCTACACTTTCATTGGTTCACCTCACATGACCTGCGTTTCGATTGGATAAGCGATATCGCGCCGGCAGAGTGACAGAATTTCTTTATCAGCGAAGAGGCACATTTTCGCTGCTTTCTACGTTTTTTCTACGACTACTAAGCAACATCCTATCAAAAAAAAGGGTGATTAGACTCTAAAAGAATTTTCGGGACAATTTCTATGCGCCCTTTTTGATGTTCGAGCCAGATAAAAATAACCCGCAGTACCCGGAAGTCCGCGTACCGAGCTGGATTTCCATGGGTCCCGTCTACCCCAACGCGAGACACAACTGCGATAGATTTCTTTCCTCGATACCTGACACCCCTCTCACCAGATGTGGACGACGCCTGCGACACTTAATACACGCCGAAAATCAAAAGACAAAACCATTTTCACACACAAGGGGTGTCCATACGCTCTCAAAACGCATCATTTTCACGCAATAAAACACACATACTAAAAAACCAAAACAACGTGCACCATCTACAGCCCAACAGCAAAACGTATACCAAGTCCCAGACATATCCGTCCACCCAAACGCGAGAAACGGCTGCGAACGCAATTTTCGTCTTCCCTTACAAAACCTCCGCGCTCGGGATATACATCCCTACCCGGAGGTAATGATTGCTTTGTTCATTAGTTAATGTTGTATTTTGATTTCACTGAATCAAGTGCTTTTGTTACCACCGGTGCTCAACCTGATTATTTCATAACACTGGTATGGCAATTCTTGGGTTTCCTTTTTATTATGTTAATTTGTATCCAGGTGGTACCAGCACAAGCTAAATATTTTCTGTGGTGAAAGAATTAAGGATGTTATTTTATAACATCCTTGGTGTATGTTAACAATCCGGAGTAAGAGCCTCAAACTTACAAGAACCTATATTCCTTCGAGGCGCCAAATTATGTTGTAATGGAACAGCCCAAAGTGACCTTTTTGTTTCCTTTGTTGTTGTCTTATTATTTTTGTTACAAAGCCCTCCCTACTATAATAATAGTGTACATAGCCACAAACAATGTGATAGATTATGAGTCTTGCCATATTCTGAGCTCATTCTTTTGTTTCTGCAATGAAATATTGATTTATGATGATGAATATTATTTTGTTTTCACTTGTATTCTATGTACGAATGATGAAATCATAGAGTTTGTTATAGATTTGGTTTATATGATTTGGTACCTGATTTCGGTTTCAGTAATATTCAGATTTATGGCTATAATTTCAAGATTCCAGACATGTTGTTTGATCAATACGTACTTTGTATGTAATACCTATTTGAGTACATGTCTAACTTTATTTTGAAGTGCTTTTTGCTTTATACCACTTATTTGCTTTGATATTCATTTTGATTATTTGAATTATTTTGATTTGAACTCAGTGTTATGGCAAATTGTTCCCAAGGTTTATTTTCTTTGTAGATCATCAACATCAAACTCAATGTACAATGCCCCGATGCCCTCTGCTGGCTTTCCCATCCGAGACCTTTTTTCTCAGAAGTCATGTCTAAGGTAGAGTGTCATATTTCTAGTTATAATTCTAATGGGCTGAGGGATACTTACAAGAAAAGGGGACTGTTTACTTGGTTAAAAGATAAACCGTATCATATATATTGTTTGCAGGGAACACATACTACTGTTAGAGATGAAAATATAAGGCAGAACGAATGGGGTGGTCAGGTATACTTCTCGCATGGTACTTCTCATCAAAGAGGTGTAGCTATTTTAATTAAGGTCAAGGCCAGCGCTCAGGTTCATCAGGTTAAGACTGATGAAACTGGGCGGTGAATTATTTTAGACATCGAGGTAGATAAACCGTAGATTTCGTTATTAAACAGAGTTACTAAATGTTCTATCGCAGATAAGTTTAGATCGGACCATAATCTGATCACGGCAAGGGCCGGGCTACTGGATATTTAGTCAGTCCCTTCTTAAGGACAAAATTTTCCTTTTACAAACAAAAAAAGTTATGTCTTATAATAATTTAATAATGTCAACACCGCAAACCCTCATATATAATAATATTTGGATATTGACTTGTTAATGTGGCTACGGGAGGCAATGTTTACTTGTTTTTCTTTTGTAATAATAAAAAAAGACACGCTACGACAACAGCCGTGTTTCCTTTGGGATTCAGTAATGTATTTAAAGTTGCCCTTATAATGGTTCGTAGATGAACTCTAGCAAAACATCAAGACACGTCTATGACGATTAGACATCCAGGTACTGAGATACGCAAGGAACGTGACTGGCAGCTGGATAGATGTTGGAAACTGTCAGTTCAAGCGCGTGAACAAACATTCCACAGTATTACCAGTCAGTTTGTTCAAGATTCCTCGTGTTTGGCCTGTCACTCAGGCCACTATTTAAAGGGCATATTAAAAAAAATCCAGCAAGCGTATAAAAGAAAACCATTTAGACGTGTTTGGCATCAACATTTCAGCCATCTGTCTCCATTGAGCATTGCATCATTATAAGAATGCTGACAACTTCACTCGATTTTTTCAGAAATACCGGTGAGTGCTAAAAGCACCTTAAAGGCTACACAACTGACGCGGCCGTATGTTCAGATACTGTAACTGTACAGATTTAGAGTTACTCATAGATTTGACCTGATTCCTATATTGTGACCACAAGTAGTTATATGTTGTAGTAGAGGACTACAAGACAGAACGGATAGACGTTTACGCCATTTTTGCCAGTTTTCGACATGTAGACTACAGTCGGGGGGCCGGAATTTGTTTTCTAAACGAGGCGAAAATCAATGCTCGCACTGATGTCATCAAAAAAATTACTTGGAGTGACGTAATATGAAGATCAAAAGTCAGAGTGACTTCATGACGCAATTTCGGTTATAGCGTACACAAAACTGTCTGATATTTGTTGTGGTTGTTGTTGTTTGCAAAGTCTTCTATGAGTTGCTATGAGAGTAAGTCCAGCTGGCCGCTGCCCCGGTGCTACAATTTGTTTTCAGAAATCAAGTAATCTTTATTTATTAATATTAGGGTCATTTTTTAAAACATGCTTTCGATTAATGAACAACCTATTTTTCATCAGCCCCTTCAGAAATTAAACCCTCAAGCTATGTTTGGTTACAAAGCCAAGCCAAGCAAAACTTCTAGATACTGTACTGCTGAAGGTGGATGTACACATGTTCTCTAGTTCCTGCTACCCTTGAACTGCACACTAAAAAATGAGATAAGGACATGTTATCTCATTTTTTCCCATATAGAGTTTGTATGATCATATTTTTAAAACATGAGATAAGGACATGTTATCTCATTTTTTCCCATATAGAGTTTGTATGATCATATTTCTAAAATATGAGATAAGGACATGTTATCTCATTTTTTCCATATAGAGTTTGTATGATCATATTTTTAAAACATGAGATAAGGACATGTTATCTCAATTTTCCCATATAGAGTTTGTATGATCATATTTTTAAAACATGAGATAAGGACATGTTATCTCATTTTTTCCCATATAGAGTTTGTATGATCATATTTTTAAAACATGAGATAAGGACATGTTATCTCATTTTTTTCATATAGAGTTCGATGGCATATACACTTATTGTATATAGACTTTTGATATGGACAAAAAGGGGATAACTATTAGAGAACAGAAATATCACAACTTTTTTTAATTATCTCGTTTTCCAGTGAAATAAATTTACCTACTTAATAAATGAGATAAAAACCTATGTCTTGTTTGGCCGATTTCGACTATTAATTTAGGCTGAAAATTTATATGCTTGGAGATACAATTGTCAAGCCATCCTGTCCCAAAAATTGAATCCATTTTACGAAATGGAAGAGGAAGAAGGAGAAACACAAGGAAACCAATGTCTTTCATATTAAGACAACTATGGAATGACGTGACATATAACTAAAAATGCAACAGTTGGATAGCTAACATCCCATACATTATTGGTATGTGCATTTTATTTGTATTATGCAAATTGTTGATTTTCAAGATTTAAAAAAAATGTCCCGCATTCCAATGCTGGAGCAGAAACGTTTCACATACCCAGTAAAACACTTGAATGCAGTTCACACTGCCAATATCATATAGCTTGGTGCAGGTGTCCTATAAAGTGCAGCCAAACAACCAATGTCCTGACCACACAACTACGTGGTGTTTGTGAAGACGTGATAACAATGCCAGATGGAAAAAAAACGATTGCTCTAACATATACATAAAATCTGTTGGTCTTGAAAACCTGTTGTGTCATGTATTTCTCCTGTGAAAAGGTTGGACCAGACTTCCCATATTCTACAAAGCGACCGTCACAACCCGCCGTACGTGCTTTTTGACCGTACGTTTTTTGGAGGCTACGTCTGCTACGTTTTTTCGGAAAACGTGGGGAAGGAGTGGCGTCGACGCACGTCACTCGCACGTCACACGCACGGTTTCGTAAGATGTAAGAGTGTGGTCTGCACGCCAAGTCTGGCTGTGAGCGGTTGCGTGCATCGTACGTTGCGCAAGTGAGAAGTAGGTTGTACGTGCTTACAACGTACGATCTCTGTGCGATTGCAACTTTACCGTAAGGAGGCCGTACTCACACGTGCGTCTTTAGTACCACGCGCGTTCCCCGTACTCGCACGCACGGGTGGTGAATCCGTAGACCGCACGTAGAAAAAGTTTTACATGCACTTAAAGTTCTACGGCGTGTCTGCGTGCTCCCAAATCTGTAGGATTTCGCACGGAGGAGGTACTCACCACGCACGGATGCCCTGCGTTTGCCCACGTTTTTGGACGTAGACATCACGCAGAAGCACGTACGGCGGGTTGTGACCGTAGCTCTAGACAGCACGTCAGCAGAACGTACTGCACCCGTGCGAAACTCGTAATGTATAATTATACATTGCGCCTCAGCAGAACGTCTCATATAAGGTTGTAATTGCATACAAAAGCTTAACATCGCATCAATTATGAGGCAACGTTGACCAGATATCCAACGAAAACACAGCACGAAAATCGAGATATCCGGGAATTTCCGGAAAAATAGACGATCCAGAAAAGTAAATTGTCTCCTCAACTGCTGATTTTATAAGATCAAAATACGATTCTAGGCCTGGTTTTTCTCCAGCCTTTTTTTTTGTTTCCCTTCGCCCACAAACTGGGGAAGGGTGCCTATAATACCGTTAATTACAGATGACTAATGGATCTTCAACCAAAAGGCAAACATAGATTCCCTGTGCTATATTTCTCAATCCCTGCATTCCTTTCTTCTATACACCTATTAACTGGTTCATT